AGACCGATTTTATTCTTACGCTTGTGAAAAGCATCGTTCATTGCCATGCTGGTTGGGGTGATGGGTTGCTTGGTTAATGATACTTTAAATTTAGATTTTGCAGGCAGGAAACTAGTTTGGAATTGATGGCAGAACATTCGCATAAAAAGTGCATCTCATAAAGTTACATACGATGTATTTATTTTAATATTGATCTGTTCTGCTGTGAGTCCCACTCAGGCCCTGTTAGCCAGAGGAAGGTTCCTTGATAGCGAATCAAATTAATCTGCTAAACTTGCCAGTTTAATATAGTAGGCTAAGAAAATCTCAGAAGGAACCAAAAGGTAGGTGACTCGCTTGCTATTTGTGATGGTAGGTGAAAGATAGTCTGTTTCTCCCATCTTCACAAATGCAATGTGATCTGCAAGTTCTGCTGTTAACCAACTTTGTTTATAGCTAGCTGGCTTGATGAGGTGTTAAGAAGGGGTTCAAACAATGGACCTGTTCACACAACTAGTTTCCTTCCATTTGCTGTAGTCATTAACAAGAACTTTAAATGTATAAATAATGCATGCCCCAAAGTCTAATTTTGATACAGCGATTACTTCCTTTTATATTCACCAAGCCCCCTCATGCTACCCCATGCAATGCATGACACGCTTTAAAGAGTGTTTGCAACTGTTTCTTTTAAATGTAGTAACATGTTTTTCAGCCGATGTTCTCTTGTAGCTCAGTTGAGAAGTTATTTAATAAAAGAAGGTAATGCATAATAGACCCTCTGCCTCTTAAGGAAATCTAAGAAAGCTTTTTTCCCCCTGAAAGTTGTTACCAGCTGCGTCTAGAGGTGCAACAGTATGAGTAATCTGTGCAACACTATGAATGAAAATGTGACTCTTCAAAGCATTTGTTTCTGTGCTCAAATCTTAGTGATGCACTGTTGTACTGCAATCACAGCTCATGACATGCACTTTTAAAGCCTTGGAAGAAATTGATTGTAAGTATAGATGATCTGGTGAAATCGTTCCTAGCAGATGTCGTGGTTACTTAGAAACCTTTCAAAAATTAGATGCTGAAATTACATCAAATGCAAGTAAAAGTTCTAAATGTGGTTTATGCCATTCATTCAGAAATTTTAAAACCCTACAGGAGTTGCAGTTTCTACAGGAAAATGTTTGGTTTCTACATAAATGCCTGAACCTACAGCTTTGTGACCTTAAATAGCTCCAAAGAAGGGAGCACTTTAGTCTACAAATAATTAATGAAGCTTTTTAATACTACCTTGTTTTCTTAAGAAAAAGCAAAAGCTGTAAACCTTCAGTATTTTTGCCTTTCAAAATGAACTTCTGAAAGGCCTAGAATTAGATAAATTCGGTGTCCATTTGTACCTCTCAAAGCCTATCAGTTTGTTGCAGGGTTTCTTTTTTGCCCTTGCTGTTCTTGAACAGGTAAAAATACACTTCAGCAGAAGAGTCTTGAAAGCCTTGAAGGCCAATGAAGTTTTGAACTTCAACAGTCTCGTTTTTCAGTGGTTATAGTACAAGCATGTATGTGGAAACTTTTTTTTTTAACAAGTTGAAACAGTTTTGATCAAATCTGTTACGATGGTTCTGGAATACTTGTTCTACTAGGTTTTGCTTTTGTTGATAGGTATTCAGACTAATGTAAAGTTTTTATAGCTAATTATGTTACTTCGTCCAAGCAGATTATTTCTAAAATCATAGTTTATAGGACAGAGTCATTTATCAAAATTCTCTCGATACTTGCCCTACAAATACTAGTTACTGCAAAGCATCATTTTAGTAGAGCTGTTTCAGCTTTCTTTACTTTTAGTTAGCTTGTTTATTCCACGAGCATACTTGTGGGTAAATGATGTTGAAATTATATACAACCAGTAAAATTTCATTCCTAGTTGCTGCATGTTACCGTGTTTGAAGTACTAAAAAAAAAAAAGAGATTATACATGATCATAGAATAGAATCGTAGATCTGTAAACTTGATTGCATAATATAGATGGGACAGCTGTAATGGAATAGATCAGAGTGGCAACAGCCAAGAGGCATTTCTTGACATCTCTTCTGAGCTCGACTTAACTATAGGAATTTCCAGTGTATGTTCTGCCTTGATGATTCTTAAGATTCTTTGAAAGCATAGCTGAGAAACAGAAATAGAACTTTTTAATTGTCGTCTTGCTGGTCTGAGATTCTAGATGGGTTCATTTCCTTTTTTAGGGGTGTGAGCAACTGCTGATATCTTACAGCTATTTAATGTACGCAAGGCTTGGAAGTAAGTTAATTGTGGCTGTAAACAGCTTTTACTTTTTAGAACACTAAACTTTTATCCTCAGTAAAAGAATAAATTTAGTCTGTGTTCTTGGCCAAGTTTATCTCCCTTTATGTATTTCCTGTTACTTTGAAGGGTGCAAAGTTCTCATGTGTAATAGTTCTAGGGAACTAAATTTATACTTGAAGTGCAGATGTCCTTATTTCTGAAGAAATAAGGTGGTACATAATAGTTTTTTCCTTTTCTTGTTTATTCCACGAGCATACTTGTGGGTAAATGATGTTGAAATTATATACAACCAGTAAAATTTCATTCCTAGTTGCTGCATGTTACCGTGTTTGAAGTACTAAAAAAAAAAAAGAGATTATACATGATCATAGAATAGAATCGTAGATCTGTAAACTTGATTGCATAATATAGATGGGACAGCTGTAATGGAATAGATCAGAGTGGCAACAGCCAAGAGGCATTTCTTGACATCTCTTCTGAGCTCGACTTAACTATAGGAATTTCCAGTGTATGTTCTGCCTTGATGATTCTTAAGATTCTTTGAAAGCATAGCTGAGAAACAGAAATAGAACTTTTTAATTGTCGTCTTGCTGGTCTGAGATTCTAGATGGGTTCATTTCCTTTTTTAGGGGTGTGAGCAACTGCTGATATCTTACAGCTATTTAATGTACGCAAGGCTTGGAAGTAAGTTAATTGTGGCTGTAAACAGCTTTTACTTTTTAGAACACTAAACTTTTATCCTCAGTAAAAGAATAAATTTAGTCTGTGTTCTTGGCCAAGTTTATCTCCCTTTATGTATTTCCTGTTACTTTGAAGGGTGCAAAGTTCTCATGTGTAATAGTTCTAGGGAACTAAATTTATACTTGAAGTGCAGATGTCCTTATTTCTGAAGAAATAAGGTGGTACATAATAGTTTTTTCCTTTTCTTTTTACCCTCTTCTGAGGATTTATTGAAGCAGTGACAGACTCTTGTTCTTTTAATTTCTTTTTTTCATTTTGTTTTTTATGGGAGCTTAGGAAGAAAGATCTTCAAACAGTTTTTCTGTTTGTTTTGCTTTTCCCAGTTTTTTCCGTATTATTGAAACAAAGCTGAATAAGCAAAGAAGTACCAGTGGGATTAAGCTACTGTGTGAAATAAATGGATTTTTTCCTGTTAAGGGTGCTCATAAGTTTTTAAACTTACACTCTTTGTTGTAGCCAAGTGTCCTTAGGTCAGTTCCCTGCTTTCCTCACCTTCCACCTCCCCAGTAGAAAATCTAGGATGATTATATGTGGGACATTATGAATGCTTTCTCTAGGGATGGCTGCTGTATCTTTGGCTGATGATGCTTAATATATGGTTCTGTTATAGGAAAGTACCCATCCATGTGTCTGAGCTTGTAAATGTGCCTAGACACCTAGAAAAGCCTTATCAGATGACTGTTAGTTAATCAAAGGTGGGGGGGAAAAACCCCCTTGATTAAAGGTAGCAATCTAAGAGAAGCAGCACAGAGGTACTTAAATCTTGCTTCCCCCCGCGCCCCGCTTTTTCTCTTGTGTTCAGATTTGGTGTCTCAGGGTATGTTAGGTGTTCTAATTCACCACGGTTTATCAAAAGTTGAGAGACAATGTTGTTTGGCAGTCTCTGTAGCAAGAAAGGAAGCATCTTTTGTTATTGACATCCTTTCTCTTAGCTCTGCTCTTGCTTTTTGCCAGCTGCTCATTGTCTATACTTGCTTATTTAGTATTCACAAGGGATTTTACAAGTTCTTATCAGTTCGTTGCCACAGCACATCATTTCCTCTTGTCATCATTACTCCTTAAAGGGGGGGGGGAGGATTTGCATTAGAGCTGGTGAGTGGTAGAAAACACCACCATTCATGAGCGTAGTTTGAGTTGCACAGTGTTGTTCTGTTCCTCTCCTTTCTGAGGCAGTTTGTAGTAAAGGTCACATTTCTAGTACTTACTCTGCCATGCCTTTTCCCCCCTCTTTTTCTGGGGAGAAGAAAACAGGGTTTTTTTGCCAACGGCTAAAAATATCCAGTGCCTCAAATATTCTTCTTAAAAGATATAAGGAAGTGCAGCATAAAAATAGCCACAGCTGAAAAGGTTGACCACCTTTTTGAGGGGTGGCTGGGGAGGGGTTGGCCTGAGGTTTTTACTGGGTTTTTCTTTTAATTGTTTTTGGTTTTCTTAGTTATCTACAGCTTCTTCCTAATTTTTTTTTTAATACTCTTCAAAAAACATGGGGTACCTAATTAGAGCTCAAGAGCAAATAGATGCTTTAATATATTCTCCTTTTGGGAAACAAAAGATCCATTTGAGCAGCTGAGTACTTCTATGCAGTACTGGCTGTGGAACTACTGGTTCCACCATGCCTCTTCCCGGTTTCTTCAGAGTAAGTTTAAGTCTTCTGGTGAAGCACTGTGATAGGGATATAATACCAGTTTTAAAACATATTCCCCAGGCATGTCTTCTGAAGGAAACTCGCAGATTTAAGGGAAGTTGTTAACAGAAACCATGCTGTCCCTTTGGTCCCTTGACTGTCCTTTTTCCCGTTAATCAGTAATGCAAGAACTGGGGACTCTGATCATGTTTTACTTTGTTTAGCTTGGGGTGAGGTCTTAGTACTTCTGGGATTTTGTTTTGGAACAAAATCAGGTGCAATGGCTAGGGTGGAAACAAGCATTCTATTTGTTTTACCACATTCTTTACTTGTTTACTAATTATTTGTTAACTTATCTTTTTAATAGAACTAAATCGGCGGAATCAATCATTATTTCTGATGTGAAGACTTCATCACTGACATCTGTATGTTCATTTGTCAGCCTCCAAGAAATAATACAGCTCATCAGTGGCGATAACTGCTTTTGGTGCACGCTGACATTTATTTGAAAAAAACAAATAAACAAAAAAAACCCAACAGACAAAACCCAACAAACCTTTTGAAGACTTGTGTCAAATGACGTCAATGGCCAGTTTGTTCTCCTTTACTAGCCCAGCTGTAAAGCGTCTGTTGGGCTGGAAACAAGGAGATGAAGAGGAAAAATGGGCAGAAAAAGCTGTTGATGCTTTGGTAAAAAAGCTGAAAAAGAAAAAAGGTGCTATGGAAGAACTGGAGAAAGCCTTGAGCAGTCCAGGACAGCCCAGCAAGTGTGTTACTATTCCCCGCTCTTTAGATGGACGACTTCAAGTTTCTCACAGAAAAGGCCTTCCCCATGTAATTTACTGTCGTGTTTGGCGTTGGCCTGATCTACAAAGCCATCATGAGCTGAAGCCATTGGATATTTGTGAATTTCCTTTTGGATCTAAACAGAAGGAAGTCTGCATCAATCCATACCACTATAAGAGGGTGGAGAGCCCAGGTATGTTTGAACACGGCTGTCTAAAAACTGAACAACATCTCCAGGAACCACCCTTGTTCACTCCCTCCTCCTCCAGTACTACAAAACAAATTAAATTGGGTGTATGGGGGAATTTGGAAGAGGAATGTTCAAAGTGTACTTTTCTGGTGGGGTTTTGGGGAGGTGTGTTGTCCATTCTGTACTAGCTGTTTTTCTTTGTGGTAAATCACACTTTTCCCACAGATCTCTTAAGCCTGCTACCCTTAAAGTTAGTGGCAAAGTCTTCATTTATAAGAAAATAGGAAAGTAGTAATCAAAAGACTTCAGTTTCTTTGAGAAACGTGTTTAAAAACCTCAGTCCTTGCAAGGAGGTTGGTAGCCTTCTTTCAGGGGCTTAATATTTCATCAGTGAGTTACATGAATTGAGGAGATAAAAAAACCCCACAACTCTAGGATGCAGTGTTCCCCACTTGATTTCCCATTAGCAGGCAGCAGAGCTGAACAGAACCAAGAGTGATGATCAGTTAGAGCAAGGTACCTACCAAATTTGTGTCAGGTAGCAAGTCTGCTGTTAAGGCATGTTGCCATGGGAGAAGGTGAGGAGGATTGTGGTTACGAGTGGGAGAGATGAATTATGTTGCTCTGGAAAGTATAATGAAAAGCTGCTTCCGTTGTTCCACAAAATGGTTGTAACTCTACTGCAAACGGCTGAAGTGCTCTGCTGTAGCACTTGAATTCCAGACTCCAGCACTCTTGAATTTAAAAGTTACGACTCCAGCTTGGCAGTAGTTGTATATTGTAGTACAGATTTTGTTTGTCTTCAGTGAAAAGGACTATATGTAACTGTATAGTTTGACTGTAGTAATATAGACTGTATTTCCATTTTTACTGATTTGATAACGTACACATACAGCGAGTCTTGCACTTCTAAATCAGTACTTTGGTACATGCTACACGTGGACTAAAATAGGTCTTTGTTAAAATAAGTCTGCTTCCAGTTGCATGAAATATAAGTGCATTTCTGCTCTGATTTTTGTGAGAGTAAAGTTTGAGTCTTCCATGAAGTGCAACATAAAAAAAAAAAATGGAGAGAGGATGGCGTAAAGGCATGAAGATGAATCCCCTACTCCTCTTTCCACTCCAGCTAGTGTTGAAATTTTCATGATGAGCACGTTATTTGTATCTCTTTCCTTCTATCTCAGTTTTTAATCTAAGTTTCCCTGGTTTTTGTTTGTTTTTTTTTTTTTTCAGTTCTACCTCCAGTGTTAGTGCCTAGACATAGTGAATTCAATCCACAGCACAGTCTACTAGTTCAGTTTAGGAACCTAAGCCACAATGAACCACATATGCCACACAACGCGACATTTCCAGATTCTTTCCAGCAACCCAACAGCACTCCATTTTCCATTTCGCCAAACAGTCCTTATCCACCTTCTCCAGCCAGCAGCACTTACCCAAGCTCCCCAGCTAGCTCTGGACCATCTAGTCCGTTTCAGCTACCGGGTAAGTACAGCCTAAATGTCAACTTAATAAAAATAATTGAGATGTCAGATGCTGTTGTGACTTACTACCTCAGGAATTTGTGATACTTGCAATAAATTGCTTTCCTACTTACATTTTAGGGGGTTTTCTTCCTAGTTTTGTCACTGGTCAGAGTTAATTGTTATGGTTTTATTTTTCCAAATGTTTTTCTCATGGATACTATAGTGGTGAGTTATTTTGCATGGCTTCAATGTAGAATAACTGATACATACTTTACAAGAATATCTAGCAATGAAAAGAAAGATGTAAGAGGCTGAGCAAGAAGTTTATTGATGTCTTTCTCTGAATAAAGACACGTGGTATTTAACTGGAAAAAAAAAAAGCAAATTTTTGATAGGAACTTAACCGATTTGCGTGAAAATAGGGAAGAAACACCAACTGGTAGGGGCAAAGGAAAGAAGCCTTATTGGGTCTGTCTGGTTATTGGTGTGGTTTATAAAGCCAAGAAGTTAATAGATGAAAGAATTCATCTTTCCAGTGGCTTGGTGGCCTCATCTTTGTTATTTCTGGCTGCCCAGTGCTGCAAAAAGAGTGTCCATTCAGTGGGTTATCCCTCTTGGGTAAGGACTGTGATCACTGGGACAGATGCATTAATGGTATCGGGAGGGAATTTCTGAAATAGGGGATAATAGTGTGTTGGTATGCTGACTGCTGTGCTGAATGGAAGAATGCAGAGATCCACGCTTTTATAATAAACTCAGCCTACAGAAGCAGCAAAACAATAACTGGTTTAGGCCTTTGTTATGCTATGGCAAATAAAGTTTTTTTTTTCAACGGAGAAGATGGTAGGCAAGAAAGCTAATGTTTATGTGGGGGAAAAAAAAAGTGGGAACTATAGTAATTTTGCCCAGCTGCAGGAGTGCAGTTGTTAAAGAGAAAAGGCAAAAAGAAAAAAGCTCATTTCTTAGTTTTCCTCACGTGTCCAACCTTGCTATTAGTGCCGTGGGTAAGAATCCAACTATTGAAGGAGGTTGCTGTAAAGACAGCTGGCTGGGTTGTCTTCGGTTTACTTTGAAAATGGGTCCAAATGTTTTAACATCTCTTGTTCAAGAGTATTTTTTTGTGTTTACAACTTCAGAATGAATAAATAAATATTCTAAATTGTTGAGGTTTACTCTGGTTTATTCTTATTTTTTCATATTTGTAGCTGATACTCCACCTCCTGCATATATGCCCCCTGATGATCAAATGGGGCAGGATAATTCTCAGTCTATGGACACAAGCAATACAATGATCCCTCAAATCATGCCAAATATATCTACCAGAGGTAAGTTGTAGAGTATGGTGTAAAATTAACATAGTTTGGTTTCTTATAACTCATGACCAAATCAAACTAATAACTTCAAATGGCGCAGTAAACCTTGTTGACAAGTGGAAGCAGTTCTCCAAGGCAAAATGGGGCTGTAACAGAAAGAATTGAGAAATAAAACTTGCCTTGCTTATTTGCATCTCTTGCTTTTAAAGCCTCGGGTGCATAGTATGGCTTACAACAAGTTGGACTTTTTTTAATTTCTCAGAATTAGTCTTTTCTGCTACCTTTGCCTGCTGTTGGAATTGTATATGCACAAAGGCTCTAAAAATTGAGTCCCAAAATATCAATTAAAACAATTTTTTTTAAAAGTGGACAGAAGAATCATGTTTCACCTGATACCACATAGTCATCTATGGTTTTTTGTGTAGGGTTTTTTTGTTTAATATCAGGCTTAAAATAGGAAAATAATTATAAAATCAATGGACTAGCTAAATGCATAAAAGTAAAAATCGTTAAGATCTTAATCAGGACTGTTCTTGCCCATCATAACTGTTGACTAAGCTTTTAGTTATCTGTTGATATTTTGGAAGGCCTGCTTTACAGTTTTAGATTTAATATTTTAACATTTATGTAAACTGGTTTTTCCATTTTGCTTATTTTCAGATGTTCAGCCTGTTGCCTATGAAGAACCCAAACACTGGTGTTCGATTGTGTATTACGAATTAAATAATCGTGTTGGGGAGGCTTTTCATGCATCTTCTACAAGTGTCTTAGTAGATGGGTTTACAGATCCCTCCAATAATAAAAACAGGTTCTGCTTAGGTTTGCTCTCAAATGTTAATCGCAACTCAACAATTGAGAACACTAGACGACATATTGGAAAAGGTAAAGCTTAGTTGTGTTACGCTTGATTAAGAAGCTAAGTCCTTGTCTTTATTTCAACTTCTGTATACTGCAACAATGATTATTCTCAGATAGGAATAGTAGAAGTAATCTGTGATATATTATCTACCTCTCCAGTATCTGAAGACAACTTAGGCATAGTTTGATTCTAGTTAGTCTAGGAATTGCATGCATTTTTCATTAGCGCTAATTTAAAAGATTAAATATTGCCTCTTCCTTACCAAACTATATTGTCATAGGGGCTTGTTCGTTATGGTTAATGACAGTCTGTATGTAGAATTTTGTGTTTCAGCACCAAGAAACATATTGCAGGACTTCTGATATTCTGTGTTATATCTGCTTCTTAAATCAAATTCTTCATACCACTTTACAGTATATCAAAGATTATTTTTATTTTGTTGTTCATGCAAGGTATTATGCTGCTGTCTACGGTATGTTCACATATCTTGCATGAGTTGGCAGCAGGACTTTGAAGTGCTAATGCAAAACTGCAAGGGCTCATTTGTCTGAGTGAATCCATGGGGTGTGTATGTGCGTGGGAGGGATTCCTGGAGACAGCAGGTTTTGCAAGATCTTCTAGTTTTCCCGTACTGTTTGGCTGATAGTACATACAGATGCACGGTTTTCATCCGATGGAATGTACTTGGATTATCTTACAATGTAGTACTCCTTTTCTGAATATCTCCTTTTTTGTAACTAAGTCCTGAGAAGAGAACCCCATTTCTATTGCACATATCTAGAGGCCTTTTTAACACCTAAGATCATTTGGTACAGTTGGTCTTGAGTTTTGTTTGTTGAAAGTCACTGTTGCTTGTTAATATATCTTCAAGACCCATCCCTGTCCCTTAGCAGTCTTTTAATTAGTAACTACTATAAATACAGGAAAAATTTGCAGATAGTCTGGAGACCACGAGTTATATTAATATCTCTTGGAAACGTGGCTCTGCAATGCTGTTGTTTGAGAAAAGTAAATGTTATAAAGGGGAACAATTGATTTCTGGGGTGCAGGTGGTTTGTCAGGTTCTTTTGTTTTGGCTTACCCCTTTCAATGGTACTGGCAGAGAAATCTTGCGCGTCTGGTCAGAAACGTAACAAGGATCCAGCATGTTGTAGAATGGTATTGGCTGCAATGAGCTTTAAAATGGCTACATCTCTAATACTAATTATTAAACTAAAACTTTGCTTTATGGTAACAGTTCTGAGAACAATTAAGATTGTTTTGGGATAAAATACTATTTATTTATGGCTTTTGTTTGGAAGGTCTTGGGTTTTTGCCTCCTTAAAACTACCCAATCCTATTTGCTAAGCTTTTTTCTGTAGAAGTGTTGCGTTGCAAGCGTAACTGACTTCTAATTGTGTGTTGGATTACTTTTGAAGTATCTGTGTTCTTCTCAGACTGCTACATTACCCAGCTCCCCTCTTCAGAGATCTCTCGGAAGGTCTTTACTCAAAAGAACTTAGCTAGCAAGTGGTGGTCTCTGTCTCTTTAAATGAATAGGGTTGTGTTGTGAAAGTGCATTCTTGCCCACCCCAGATTTTCTGATAGCTGCTTGTAGTTGATGAAGCCAGTGGTTAACCTTCATCCTACCTTAGTCCCAAGTGGCTCTAGCAATGTTCACAACAGTTGCTGCTGTCTGAAAGATTAACTTGCATCTGTTGACTTGCTGCAGCCTCATCTGGCAAACCACGGGATAGTCTGCAGTGGATTCGCAGGGTATTGCAAGGAAGACTTAAACTGAACTCTGTCCCAACCATATAACAGTGCTGGGTGGGGGAAAGGGAGAAGATCTGGGAGAAGGAAGGCGAGTATCTCAACTGAAGTAGCAATGAGAATCTGTGTTTTGATGCTGAAAGGGTCAGCTTTTGTGTATTAATTTTTAGTGAGTAATAGTGTTATACAGGCTTCAGAACGTAAAGGGAGGGAAGCGGTTATGTACATAGCTGAATCCAGGCAGATGTGATGAATCTAGGGGCTTTGTTGATTTTAAGGTCTGTAAAGTCTGATGGTGTTTAAATTGTGCAACTAATTTGACTTAACTCTCCTTTTGCTTGATAAAATACATTGAAAATCAGAGCAGACTATGGATATACTTTCTCATTCATGTCTATCACTGCCCGTTCTCCCAGGACACTTATTTCTGTTGGAATTGCCATAGGCAGAAGCTACCAGTTTTATAAAACTGGAGTTTTAAAATCCACATAAGTTCTCTAGAAAAATAGCTTGAAATAACTGTTGATGTGTGGAAGTAGTTTTTTCATTCTATTCTGTAAATGATGAGAGAAGGACATCTAGTGGCTGATGTATAATGAAGTCTACTGTATTTTGAAATGAGCAAGTCTGCTATAGTGTGGGCAAAAGAGCTTTTCTGAAAAGCTCCTCAAACAGAAAATTTACTGTCTCTGATTTCAAGGGGATTGTGTGAAGTACTGTATTTTTTAGGAAGAAAAAAAAAGTAATTTGAAACACTTTTATCTTTGTTTTCAAGGAGTTCATCTCTACTATGTTGGTGGGGAAGTCTATGCTGAGTGTTTAAGTGATAGCAGCATATTTGTACAGAGCAGGAACTGCAACTACCACCATGGCTTTCATCCAACAACTGTGTGCAAGATTCCTAGTGGATGCAGTCTGAAAATTTTTAACAATCAGGAGTTTGCTCAGCTTTTAGCTCAGTCTGTCAACCATGGATTTGAAGCAGTATATGAGCTCACCAAAATGTGCACCATTCGAATGAGTTTTGTAAAGGTAAACAAATTATTTTGGGGGCATTTAAATTTATTGTGGATTTGGGTATTCAGCAGTAGTTACATTAGCACTGTAACAATGTGGCAAAGCTGTTCTGACCTGATGTGGTGGTTCTCAATGATAAGTATGTTGAAAATGGTTACTCTGGGGAGAGGGAAATCAATGCAAGAAAGGAAAAGCACAGATTGCTGTACTGAATGTTTAGTTACTTCAGTGTGCAGGACAGGGATTTGATCATTGTGGTTGCTATAATTTTATTAAAGGAGATTGGAGCTCATGCTCTAAATTTGAAGGAACAAAGTGAACTACAAGACCACTAAAAAGCATGTGAGTAGAGAGGAACGTAAGTGATTGCAGAAAAAAATTGCAACTCCTTTAAAGATAATGTTTTTTAAAAAATTGATTATGGAAAAAAGACATGATTTGAATTTATGAAGTCAAACTGTGCTGTTATTCTCACAGTAGTGTTTTCTCAACATTGTTTAATCAAGATGCAGTCTGTTTCAGATTTAGCATGGAGTCTAGGCTTGGACCTTCCAGGTTTTTTTTTTGCATCTTGTCCAAAAGATGTCTTGTTTGTTTTGTCAATTATGATAAATACTGCTCAGTTTGAGAGTGTGGAGGATAGGGAGCAGGAGGGAGAAAGAGAAGAGAGATGTGGCCATAGCCAGGAGTCATTCTTGACTCAGCAGTGCGCTCCGCAGAGGAGCTCTTGTAGTCGCTCCAAGTCTGTAGCAGACAAGACTTGATTCAGGCTTCCAGGTGCAGCCTCCGGGCTGCTCCTTCCCAACCTCAGTTTTTTTCCTTTAGATAAGAACTGTTCCTAGATTGTGAGTTACCTTCAGATAAGTATCTTAAAACATGATTTCCTGCTTCTTGTTAGTACAGTTATTTTGAAAGACAAGCATGTTCTTAACTTGGTGGATAACATTTTGTTCGTTTTTATAGGGCTGGGGAGCTGAATATCACCGACAAGATGTCACAAGCACTCCATGCTGGATAGAAATTCATCTTCATGGGCCCCTCCAGTGGCTGGATAAAGTACTTACACAAATGGGTTCTCCTCTTAATCCCATCTCATCTGTTTCATAGTGCTGAAATTTTGTCTTCAGCCTATTTTTAGCGAACTTATTCTAATTCTAGAGAAACTTCCAGTGTGGATACTGTGAGCTATATGGAGAATGGATCTTACGGTTTAACTTTTTTTTTAAATCCCTTTGTGACCAATTCCATTGTGTATAGCTAATCAGTTTTACATTTCAATTTGTTCTTGTGATGCTTAAGTGACAGTTGAGCCCTAAGGGAAAAAAAGTCTATTGAAAAATTCAGAACACTTTTCCCCTCCTTCAAGTAGAACTAAACAGGCATATGTCTTAACTGGAAATTTTTTTTAGTTTTGTCCTGTCGGGACAAGAATTATGAAGACTGACTTCAGAAAACAAATACATATCATAGTTTGGGATTTTTTTTAACATTTATGAAACTGTTTGAACATGTGCAGCTCCGGCTTGCAAGCTGTATTTTTAGCGTAGTTTAACATCTTAAGGTTGACATCTGTCATAAGCAAAATTAGACTTTATGATGGCTAATTTGCCTCAGATTGAACAATGTGATTTTTTTTAAGTGTACACATGAAATATACTTTTTACAAATATTGGAGTGATGTAAAAACACTTGTATTGTCTATTGGAAAATGCTGTCATAAACACACTGTATATTAATGCAGAATAGCAGTTCTTAGCCTTTTCCCACTTCAGTTTTGTAATAGCTCTTTTAACCACCGTTTTAAATAGTAATTGATACAAGGTAAACATCTTGCACGTTTCTGGAGTAGTAATTCTTGTTTTGCTTTGATTTACACTCATGCCGTTTGGATTTGGTTGCCAAGGCTATTTCTTTTTAGGTACCCTTCTCTATTTTAACATAAACACTACGATTTGTAAATGGCAGTGCTTACTACTTTTTGGAAGGAATAAGGTTTTTGTTTTCTTTTTGGTGTTCTAGCTGTTTATTTTGCCTGTCTGGAGTTGATCTGTGTTAGGCCTTTTAATCTCTCAGTAGACATTACGCAGTATTAGTGATTACACTGTATTTAATTCACTTTCAGTATGAGTTTGAGTCTCTTTGAAGACTGTGAGTGGCTTAGCAAATTAGTAACTGAATGCAGAAGCTTTTACTTCCAGATCATGTAATTTAATACAGACCTGTTGGTAATGACCAAAAGTAATCACTTCTTTGTAGCCTACATGAAACAGTGGTCTTGATCCTGTCCCTGATGGCAGGTCTTCAATCAGAAGACTCGTAACTGTAGTTGGCAGCTTGATGGGATTGAAGGACTGCATTAATATGATGATGAAATTTCTCTCTCACATGTAAAGAATCCTGTTGCCTGTGCTGTTGTATTACTCAGTAGAGAATTTAAACACTGTACTAAACACTAAAAGAAATCAGTTAAATAACGTATGCGTATTTTTCCCCTTTTAAATAATTAAAAAAGGAGGCTGAAAGAAACATTCTAAGAGAATTAGAAGTGAATTATATACAAAATTTCTTTGCATGCCGAAAAAGACCTGTTGTATTTTTTAACTTCTCACCCTCCTTTTTCTCTTTTCCTGAACACTTCTTCAGAAAAGGGTTCAGTGTTTGGGGGAGAGGCTGAAAACTCTAAAATGCAAATACTTATTAAAAGATGTGTTGCAGTTAATTACTGCAATCCTGAGACATTGATTGCTTACACAAGTTATTGTGTCGTCTGTTGAATGACAGTTTCTGCTCAAATGTGGAAATCATGCATCATATGGTACCTAAGTAACAAATGATCTTAAAGGAATAAAATTGTTTACGTGTCATTAAAATGTTTCTTATGAAATGCCTTAAAGGAATAAACTGTAACACTTCTGCAGAACCCTAATGTTCTCTTGTACAGGAATTTCTATATTACTTGGTGTTTTGGTTTCTTTGGGTTTTTTTAAGCAGTTTCTCAAGTGTGTTTAAAAACAAACAAGTGCATCTTCAGGAGAAGGGGAATAACATTATTTGCCGCTCACCTTTGGGTCTTCTCTTTCATTCTTTGCAACTGCAACCCACAGATGGTTCTTTTGATCGAATAAGATGCGAAGTTCGTTGGCCACAGGATGAGGCTTCTATTTTCTTCTCCCTGGGCCTGACTTTTGTCGAGTTGCTGAATATGTATATTTGACACTACAGGATTTTTTTTTTTGTCTTGTCTAGCTTTTATAATAAATGTCATGGCACATTGGATTAAGGAAAGATCTTAGCTGTAGGTACAAGATTTTACTTTATCCAAAATGTTTTTCACCTGGCTTCATCTCTGTTCACTTGTATGTTTAGATGTGGCCAACTAAATGACTCAAGAATGGGTGCTGAAGTGGGTGTTTATGAGCCAGAGCTGGTGCTTAGTATTGTGGTTAGATTGGCTTACCCGTGCACTGAACCATAATTTCTGCAGTAATATCCAGTTAACCCACTTCTGATGCTGTCATTAACTACTAAAGTACTCTGGCATTTTTCTGCTTGTGTACATATTCTTGAACTGTAATATATGCAGTGCTGGGGATATCCTTGTGACTGCTGATTTTGCCAGGGTAGGCTTGCAAGAGCAGACCCGGTAAGGTTTGTCTATGTTCTACGTTTCTGTTCCTTTTAAGTAGGACTTCTTGAGAGCTTTCTGGTTAGCAAATTTTGTGTGCTACTGGTTCATGGTGTCTCTAATCATGTTTAGTTTATCTGTGCTGCTGATACAAAATTCAGGTATCAATGCACAGGGGGATTGGATGAGAACTGTTTGAGCCTAATGATGTTTTAAGTGTAGCAATAGTAAAGAGTGCTGCTTCTGTTGCAGCATACTTGTGTATAAGTCACTTCTTGATCTAGATGGAAGGATGGAGAAATTGAATCAGCCAGTAGTGTGGTAGTGGAAGATGGAGCCTTTCCAGTATAGCCCAGCTTAGACTGAATGTTACTCTTCAGTGAAAACTGTTTTGGCTTTTGTAGTGTAAGTATTTTCTTCTTTTTGGGCGTCTTTCTACTTTGCACCAACCACAGCATTAACTAACGGCTTTGGCAATACCAGCAAAGAGCCTAGAACAGGCATATACTGAAGTTCTTTGTGGGTTTGCTTTTATAGTCGCTAAGATAAGATAGTAGCTTGGATATTCCTCCTTAGAGGACTTCAGTCTTGCTGGCAGTCAGTCCAGTGCCTTGCGTAAGTATTACATTCATTTAATTGCATTAGGCATGAAGTAGTTGTACGTGAAGGGATGACATTGGGTTATGGTATCTATAGGACCAAAATAAAACTTTCTAGTATGACTGACTGATGAGAGACAAATCTAACGGAACAGCCCATTAGTTAAAAGAATGATGAAACAGCCCATGTGTTATGATTTGGTGTAGAATTGTTTAAAATATTGGAATTCTTTCGGGTTTTGCTTGAAGCTATGATTTCCCCCCCCTAGTATTACAATGTGAAAGTTGTCAATTCTTGGGCAGATGCTCTTGCAGTGTAAGTCTAGAGAACATGAAAATGTGTCAGGCTTTCCTCCTAGTTTGAAATAATTTTTTTCAGGATATTTAGTTGCCCAAAGTATCGCTGCTGATGGTTTTTAGGGGCAAAAAACCCTCAAACCCACAACCCACAAAAACAAACCGAAGTGTCTTCTAAATGTTTTGCTTCAAAGGACAAACACGTGACTAACTTTTTTTTGTAGTTGTGAAACTTCTGTTTAGGAAGGTAACCCATTCTGAGTTCAAATCAGTAGACCAAACCATCAGATTACAACATAATGTTGCTTTATTGTGCTGCTCCATAAACCTGCTTCTGTGTTTGTTGCAAGCATAACCTTTATGCTTTTGTTTACATTGTAGGAAACACAGTTCTAGCAATGAGTTTTTTCATTTAACTCTAAACATCTTTTTATTTTGTTAATTTTAAAATTATTAGGTTTTGCTATGTTATGTTTTTAAAGATATTTTTTGCATACTGCTGCTCATATTTCAATAAACAAAACAAAAAAACCCCAGATTTTTCTGATTTCCTTTATCTGTAACTCAGTACGTCTCAAATACTTGTTTACAAGGGTTGATTTATGAGTTCTTGTAACTCGATGCTGATGCCTTACCATGTACATATTCCTCCTCGTACAAATGTGACTTGTAATTTTAAAAATACTTTTCTATAGCTTTTTGGTAATGCAAAAGCTGCAGTGCTCTCAGAAGCACAGATTAAATTATTTCATTAATTTATTTGAGTCCTTTTTTGTGGGGCTTGTAGAATGCAGCCAGCCAAAGACTCTTAACTGCGGTAACGGTATCAATTTGCTGGTATTTATAAAAGTATTTAAATCAGTAGTACCAAAAATGTATAGCTGTAAGACTTCAGCAACGCTCTGATTATTGTGTTTTGGGTGCGGCTGGGGATTTTTTAGCATTGTGGCTGACCGTAACGTTTTTAAACAACTGTCATCATGTCTGAATATGTAGAGCTTTAAACTGATGACCGGTAGCCTTGTCATTGAAATGAAGGCTGTTTGAATATCTCTTGAAACTCAAGTACTGTTCCAATAAAATGGAAATTTTAGGAGCGTTTTAGTAAGCTGTTCTTTTACTGTCTGTTAGCCTTAATTTTTAAGATTGAGGGGAAGAAAACTTTTCTCTTGTTTACCAAGATACTACAGAAATAGAGGTTGAAATAGTAATTGGTGGTGTGCACTAATTAAAAGAAATCCCTTTTTTTGGCAGGATAAGTACAAAAATACTGAATCCCAATTCTGCAGGGATTTCCATTTAAGAACCACAGAAAGGACAAATTATTCCATTAGTACCAAACTGAAACAAAAGCGTTGATACTGCTTGATCTTGTCTGTGCTTCCTGCTTTGGGATTTAATTTGGCTAGCAGACTGCCACCTTGCAGTAATACTCCATGAAGTTCTCTCATCTTCTCAATAGTTTTTTTTTCCTCTGAATGCACTATACTAAGGAGGATCCAGTCACTCAGGTAGTAATTTTTTTTTTAAATCTCCTGAAACCTGATGGTTTTGCTTCCAAAACAATGATTGCCACGTAAAGTTCCCAGAAGATTTATTATGATAGTATTACCTAGATGATACAGTCTAATTTGCAAGTAACATCTCAAATTAAGTGTCACAGTGGCTTGTTGGCTTTCAAGAAACTTTATATGGATTTGTATTAATAGCTTTCTATATAAGTAAAAAAAAAAACCCAAACCTGAAGAAAAAATCTTCGCTATTAAAAGCTTTAAAATATTATTTTATAGAACTGAAGGGTTTTTGTTAATCTTACTAGTCTGTCTTTCTGGGGAATTGAGGGTATAGTAACAGTTGATAATTACATCTCTGAGTTGCTAGCCAAAGTGACCTGTGAAATTGTTCCTTCATGTTTTTTTCAGAAGAAAAAAAGCTTTGGGCAAAACCCACCTTTTCTACCTCCACTCCAACCTGCATCGTGTGTTAAATGAGTCAGAGGCTGCTTCTGCTCACTGCTGCGTAAAAAGCAAATATCTCACTAGCATTTAAAGTAATTAAACGTTGGGTGTCCTATATCGTGTGCCAGGCACTCTTGTCCTGGAGTGCTCCCTGCCCTGTTGTAGCCAAGGACCATGCCTTCTCTGACGCCATCCCAAGAAATCCTACTCATCTAGGAAAAACTGTTTCATGGAGGTTAGGAAAACTTGGGAAATTACTTTTACTATAGATACTCTGGTCAGAGGACATTGGAGTGTCAAGTCAGTGCTCTAAATGAGGCTTTTCCAAACAGCTTTCCCAAAGTAAGCACTTGGTATCATGGAAAGGCTGATTCCATTAAACTTGCCAATGTCAGTATTTTGGCATATATGATTTAGAATGTGTGTTTTCCAGACACCGCTAGCGTAAAAAAATCATTGGACTGCACTCGGTGGCAATACTGGCTCTACTTTCCCTTGAAATCTTAAGCACTGTTAATCTTCTGACTTAGGATGTGGAACAAGCTGTCGTCTTCTGGGTGCACTGAGGCATTTGTAAAAAGTCCCAAAGTACCTGTGAATTGTCAGCCACTCAGTTAAACATAAATGTTTGAAGATACTGCATCACCTTAATGCTCAATTAGTATTGGCGAGAGAATTGGCTTATGCTGATGAGCGTTTTGGGTTGGCACCATTCAACACAAATAATCATTCCCTTAGTTTTGGATATCTGTGTATAAACTTCGAAGTAAAGAATTGTCATCTTGTGCATTTTTATCATACACGCGCAGCAAAGCTGGTTGTCTGTAGCTTTGTAGTGTGAATTCTCACACCAACCACTCGCAAATTTAATAGCGAGTCAGAAGAAAGCTGCATGCTGGAAACCTAGGCTGAAAAACGAAGCCTACGCAAGCTGTAGAGTGGAGGTATGAGACTCGTGCAAGCTGTCCAGCATCCGTCCCTGGAATTCCTATTGTGCTGTGGGAAGAGCAGAAGTCAAAATAGAAACTAAATTTTTTGGGGAAAAAAAAACCTACAGCATAAAACAATCAGCAAAGCCACTGAAAGGACAATACTCTCTTGAGTCCTGATGTCTTGGTGCTTCTCCCAGACCTTCAGTTGTTCTTTTTCATGATTTTCCAACTCCTGCAAGTTGGACCAAGGGTCCTTTAGCCTCATAAGAAACATCATTTTGACGTATGTGTTCCTTCCGCCTCCTGTCGTGTGTTGTCCCCTACCCGGGTGAAGGGGACTGCGTGCTTGTGTAGCCATGGCCATAGGCCTGGTCGTGGGGAGCGTGTAGGACACTTTCATTCTCGGCAGAATATTTGTGTTGCTGAACTGCTTGCCCAGGTTTTCAGACACGCGGGGGAAAATGGCATGTCATGCCTTGAGTATGTGCCAGCCATTTGTCGCGGGTAGACTAAAACACGCAGTCTGGCTTTTTCTTTGCCCTGTGTTTCTATATTTAGCAGTATTTTCCTCTAAAACCATTCTGAGAGGTCTCCAAAGTCCAGCACAGTCAAAGGACTAGACCTCAAGATACCAAATAAGAAGCCTCTAGCTGATGGAGTTACAGTGGTACATTCACGTTAAAAGAGGGAGCAAACCTTCATGAATGGCAACACACACGTACAATAGCCGTGTGATAGGTGCTTCAGAGTTTTACAATTTCCAGGCAGTTTGCGTCAAATTCTTTTGGAATATACTGTTCTTGTTAACTGCCTTATAGGGCCACATGTTCAAATGTGCTGTACAAATCTTTCTGTAAGCAACATTTTTTTAGCTCTAGTTGAGTGCAAACCCAAAGACAGGTCTGGCTCGCGATTCTCTTAATCCTCCTGTTCTGCACTTCTAAAGGTAAGTCTGAGGCTGCAGTTTCGTTGGCTGGTAAATGTGGTTGTAGGGCATGTGGGGGTCCAGTTAAAAACAAACGTTGCAGCCACTGACAACATACAACATTGAAATGACAAAAAAAATCAGTCTAAAAGTTCATTCTAAAAATCTGGAGGCAGGAGATCTATCCCAGCAGAGACATCTTGCCAGGCAAGATACATTTTTTTTTTTTTTTTTCCCCCCAGTACTACCTTAAGTTTGTGCTGGAGTGATAATCATCTGCTCTTTGAAGGATGGCAAGAAGCCAGCATCACAAGTGTTCTGTTTTCTGAGCCCGATGGTCACACCTGACCTAGAACAAGCAGGCGCTGTTGGGCAATCCCGCAGTGAGCAGTTCTGTGTGAAATCTCTTTTGAAGGAGCTCTGCTCCAGAAGAACACTAAAAGTATTCACTTCAGTGCAAGAAATGAAGACGCAGATCTATAGAAAATCATATGAGGGAAGTGTGTCATTAAATTCGCTTTTATCCAGAATTTTTACTGGGCTAGCCACAATGTTTCCCTTAAATGTATGTGATGGGAAACCGCTAACGAGCCAGACCGGCTGTAGCTGTGAAGTAGGTTTATGGTGGGTCAATCAGGTCTGTATTTAATTGATTAACTCTCTGTATTGCTGTTTGAATGGTGCTTGCTGGTGCTACGCTGGAGGGAAGAGAAGCAGGAGGAAAGCAGTAAGGCAACGCATCCAGAGGGGTGGTCACGGGGCAGCTGCGTTGCCGTAAGTCACCTGGAGCCCACCTGCCTCCTGCTCAAGGTACGAGTTGGTTTTGGTGTGGGATGGCAAAGCTGTCGTCAAAGGAGTGCCCTGAGTTACCAGGGCCTCGGCTGCTCCGGGGTGGGGTGGTGGTTGCAGAAAGAGCAACAGTGTGGTGGAAATGCTTTAGGCGCCTGTACCCGCTACAGGCGATGTGGGACAGCTGAGGCAAGGTGAAAGTCTAATAAAGACAAAACGGTAGGTAGTTTTTATACACATCAGCAAGTTAATGTGAAATCTCAATTTTTTCAGTCTTAAGTCTTGCAAAAGAAAATAAAATTCAAACTTGCGTTCAGAAATAAGCCTACTTAGTTATCAAATCCCCGCCCCCCCCCAAAGGCAAACCCTGTAAAACTTTGCTCCCGCGGAGGTGCGAGGTGAGGGGCTTGAGGGGTGAGGTTCTGGGGGTGGAAGGTGTTGGGTCGTCTCCAGCCTTTCTGTGTTCCTGCCTCTTGCAGGGCTCCTCCTTTTTTCCATAAGACATTTAAAAAAGAAAAAAAAAAAGGCATTTTAAATTAACAGCTCTTTTGTTCTAAGGCCAGCTGTAGTTTGTTCTTTTTAAATACCTTTTTTCCATTCTCTTTTTGAAGTTGTACATCTGCTATTGCAAACAACCCGGTTATTTCCAGGACTACATAAGAAGTGCTGTGTAATCCAGTCATTCCTGCGAAATCTCATTTTATGAAGTCTCTCAGATATCGAAATTGCTGTTAGCAAACTCATGAACCTCTCGAGAAAGCTCTGAGCTGTGTGGGTGATTTTGACTTTAGAGCTGGATTGGAGGAATTTGGGAGACAATGCAAAATAGACAAAATAGGCTTTTTTCTGTAAGAGCCAAATGGAGACTAGTTTTCCTGAGACCTGTGAGATTTCAGATCTCTGGTGAACAGTCTCA